TTATTTCAATAACAAGAAAAATGTTAAATTTTTTTTATATATAATTTAAATTATTTAAAATTGATCATTTAAATAATATTCCAATTAAAAACAACGACGATTTACATTAAAAAGTTCATTATGATAATTATCAATTCGTCATGATTATTTTCAGTTTTCGTGAATTTTGTATTTTATTATTTTTATTTTTATTTTTAATAAAACACTGACCTGAAAAATAAACCGGACCTATTTAACTATATATATATATATATATATAGTATACGTAAGAAGTTTAAATGTAAAAAAAAATAATCTCAATTTAATCACCGAATTCGATTAAAGTGAGATTTCTAAAGGAACGAATTATTACGACACTTTTAGAGTTACTCTTTTTAATTCGCAGTGTCATTACTGATGAAAAACACGATAAGATCTTCATTAGTGCTAATTGTACGAATTGACTTTAACGAAAATGTATCGTATCTATTTATTTTTTATTTCGACTTTTTTTTTAACATGATGTTCTTATGAGAACTCAATATATATATATATAGTTATATATTGTAGATGAAAGATAAAATTGATAATTACCCACAACAAAACTATCTGATTAGATGACATGCTAAATTTTTGTGGGACAATTGAGAAAATTGAGATTTTAACTAAACTGTAATTATATATAGTGAGGTTAATTATCTTAAAATAAATAATTTATTTTTTTTAATGAAGAAATGAAATTGAGACGTGTGTTTTTATTTTAATTGAGATGAAAGCAAGAAATTTTAAATTAAAAGCAAAATTTATTAAATCTTCAATAAAATTTAAATTAAATGTATTAATAATATGGAATTTTGGGAATTACATTGGATATACAATTAATCTGTGTAGGACCTATTTTGAACTACATTGAACCTATTTTGGACCTATTTTCACCTACACTGAATCTATTTTTAACCTACATTGACCTACATTGAACCTATTTTGGATCCACTTTGATCTATATTGAACAAATATTAGACCTATATTAAATATACATTACATTCACATCGAACCTACTTTAAACCTATATTTGACCTACATTTAACCTACCGAACCTATTCTATAACTACGTTGACCTACATTGAACCCAATTTTAACTGAACCTGTAGTAGACCTACATTGATCCTACTTTTAACCTCAATTGAACTTACATCGACCTACATTGGACCTAATTTGATAAATTTTGAACCTACAAAGATGTGTCTAATTTTAACCTACTTTGAACCTAGTTTGAACCAATATTAGTCCTACCTATCGAATTAATTTTAAAACCTACTTTAAACCTAAATTAAACTTACTTTGACCTACATTGAACTTTGCAGTTACTCTAAAACTTGTTTGAACCTACTTAGACCAAATTTTACCTACATTGAACTTATCTAAGATCTACACCGAACCTACTTTAAACCTAGACATCAAGTACATTGCTCCTACATTGAACTTATATTAGACCTTCTTTTAACCTAAATTTTGACCTAATTTATGTACATTGAAATCTACATTCGATTTATGTACCTTCTTTGACCTATATTGAACCTAATTTGATGTACTTTAAACCTACATCACGTTAATATGAACCTACTATGTAGTTACTTAAAAACCTAGTTTCAACTAACTTAAACCTTATTTTACCTAAATTGAACCTATATTAAAATTAACCCATAGAAGACCTTAATTGGACCTACTTTAAACCCAGATTGAACCTAATTTGAACCGAGATTGAACATAATTTTAACCTAGATTGAACCTACTTTGACCTACGTTGGACCTTATTTCACATTGAACCTACATTAGGTGTACCTATTTTGTACCTTTTTTTTAAACCTAGTTTTAACCTACTTTAGATCTTATTTGACATTCTTTGAACCTACTTTAAACATATTTCAGAATTACTTCGACCTATATTGAACCTATATTAAACTAAGCCTATTGTAGACCTAGATTGGACCTTCTATGAACCTAAACTGAACCTATTTAAACCTACATTGGACCTACTTTGACATACATAGAAGAGATATTTAACTAAAACTATATTAGGCATTCATTGAACCTACTTGAACCTACATTTAACGTACTTTGGTCCTAATTTAATCTAAATTGAACCTATATCAGACCTGAATTTGAACTACTTTGAACCTATATTACATCTAAATTCAAACAACTTTTATTTTATAATTTACCTACATTTAACCTACTTTGAACCTTTATTGGACATTTTTTCAACCTACATTTAAACTACTTTGTCCTTGATTGAACCTACTATTATACCTATATTAAACCTTTTTTGAATCTACATTTAACCTACGTTGACCTTGATTGAACCTACTATTATACCTACATTAAACCTTTTTTGAACCTACATTTAACCTACTTTGAACTTGATTGAACCTACTATTATACCTATATTAAACCTTGTTTGAACCTACATTTAACCTACTTTGACCTTGATTGAACCTACTATTAGACCGATATTCGACCTTTGTGCAACCTACATTGAACCGACTATTAGACCTCATTGGTCCTATTATTATACCTACATTGGACCTTTTTTGAACCTACATTGAACTTATTATTAGACCTACATTCGACCTTTTTTCAACCAACATTTAACCTACTTTGACCTTGATTGAACCTACTATTATACCTACATTAAACCTTTTTTAAACCTACATTTAACCTACTTTGACCTTGATTGAACCTACTATTATACCTATATTAAACCTTTTTTGAACCTACATTTAACCTACTTTGACCTTGATTGAACCTACTATTAGACCGATATTCGACCTTTGTGCAACCTACATTGAACTGACTATTAGACCTCATTGGTCCTATTATTATACCTACATTGGACCTTTTTTGAACCTACATTGAACTTATTATTAGACCTACATTCGACCTTTTTTCAACCTACATTTAACCTACATTGACCTTAATTGAACCTACTATTAGACCTACATTGAACCTACTTTGACCTTCATTGACTCTACATTGAAGCTACTATTAGATCTACATTAGACCTTTTTTGAACCTACATAACTTAAACTTGGTAATATATTTAAAAAAACTAAGTGACATTACTTCAAAATCATACACACAGTATAAAATAAACGTTTATTGAGAGAAACAGATATGTTCAAATCTCACGACATAAATAAGAATTTCACACACACATTACATAATAAACAATCATTGTACTTTGTCTTTTCTTTTATTTGGTAAATCCAAATGTATATATATATATATATATACATATAATCAATTCAAAAGTAACGTGAGATCATTTACACATATATTTATAAATCTCCAATAGAGGCATACTTTTGAAAGTCAATGAAAAAAAAGGAGAGAAAAAGATAGGATCAAATATCTGCACGAGACTTTATAATCTCAAATCGTTTTTGTTGCACGGATGCAATAATTTCTCCTAGACTTTATTTCACTCTCTATATACGACAACAGGGTTATCAATTACAAAAACGTTTTCAAAGCTATTTGAAGCAACTTTTTTTTTTTTTTTTTTTTTTTTATTGTATATAAACGTTGTCACAGTATTCGTCGCGTGTGTTCATAAATTGCATCAGTAAATGATGAAAAATAAATAAATATATTCGCTGAAAAAAATGTTAAAATTTTTTTGAAAATAATGACACGACCTTTTATGTATTAAGTTTATATGAAATAAAAGTATCAGAAAATGGATTTCACGATAATGATTAAATATATTATATATATTATAATATCTATATGAAATGAGCGCGAGAAAATTCTGATAATTTTACGTGTATAAATTTATAATTATACAATCTTTATATAGTACACAAATACATTTACCTCATGAATTAGTTATTGTTTTATAAAGTAATTATTAAATTGTTGCCACACTCACGATTTTTCAATCAAACATATATATATATACCTAAACTCTACATATATGTAATTAAAATATACAATTTTTATTTCTAATCAACTTTCTGCAATTATTTCTAGCATCCGGATAAAAATTTTTATTTATAAAATATAAAATAAAAATTTCCTATTTTCCATGAAATTATTTTTATTTTAAATAAATGGCAGCTTTTACAATTTTTATTTTAACTAATATTTTATTTAAGATTATTACACATGTAGTATATAAAATACTTGAGAATAATTTTGAAAAATCTCGTACGCGTGGGGTATCGAAACCAGGACCCTTGGAATGCAAGCCATATGTACAGACCACACAGCTACGTTAACTTAAATTCTTTTAGTTCTTTTGAAATATTATGATTGTATTACATTCTGTTTGTGATAAAATAACTACATTATTTTTTAATTTTTACATCTAATAGTAGTTTATAATCCTTTTTTAAATAATTTGTTATTTAAAAAAAACAAAAAATAATTTTTCTCAAATTATTAATCAATTAATTAAATAATTACAAATATGTCAGTAAATTAACACTTACAAATTTGTTTATTGTTTTTTTAAAACATTTTCTTATAATAAAGCAATTTAAATAAGAGCGCCTTTTTTTACCAATGAGAGAGTAAAAGTAGCGCAAGCGCAGTTCTGTTTAGTAACTATCGCTGTCATCTTTGAGCAGAACCAAAACTGCTACCAAAATTTATTGTAAATAAATTAAATAATTTTATATATTTATTTTAATAAAATTATATTGAAAAATTGTATTATAATAAATTTTTAATTTCAAAATTATTATTATTATTACATCATGCATTTAATTTAATTTGTATTATTTTTTTAAATTACAGTGTCAATTTCTTAATTTTGCATTCGATTTCATAACAAACGTGAAAGAATGAAATATGTATTAAACATTTTAACACGTCGATTGCTCGCATAAATAATGCCATCAATTCATATCAAATATATATATAATAACTTGTTCTCGATTATATCGACATATATATGTATTTCGTCATTCGTGGAATGTTCTATACTGAATGAAACTTTACGATTCTTTTAATTACAGATCATTCAAAGGAGAGACGATTACGGTGAGCCCAGAGAAAATTTCAACAGAGATTGGGCTGATTATAAAAATGGTTTTGGCGATCCTGCCCGGGAATTTTGGTTGGGTAATGAAAACATTTACATGTTGACGAATAACGAGGACTATATGCTACGAGTCGAACTTGAAGATTTTGAGGGCAACAAGAGGTAAATTATTTCATCTTATTATGTCTATATATATATACTTAAAAACAATACACCCAAAGAATTTTTTTTTCTTAATCCAAATTTATATTTATTTAATTATATTTGTTAATTATTTGTTGTTTATAATATGTGACGCTCCGCGGGAGAATCCAGATAGCACGTAACCTTGCGACAAGCTTGCTGCGCAATATTTCCAACCTTGTACGGAAAACTTGCCGTAAGCTTACTGCAAGGTTCAAATGTCCCACCTGACCGTAAACTTGCATGGTAAGCTTACGAAAGATTGCAGTGTAAGGTTACTGCAAGATTGCATAATAAGATTACCGCAAGATTGTTCAGTAATCTTGCACGGTAAGCTTGTGGTAAGGTTCGTGCAAGGTTGCCAAATAACCTTGCTTTAAACTTAAAATTTTTTTTTTATAATTATATCGTCTAATTAATATAATAAAATTATATAAATTAGACGAAACAAAAAAAAAAATTTTAGGTTCAAAGCAAAGTTATTTGGCAACCTTGCACGAACCTTACTACAAGCTTACTGAACAATCTTGCGGTAATCTTATTGTGCAATATTGTAGTAACCTTACACTGCAATTTTTCGGTAAGCTTACCATGCAAGCTTTCGGTCAGGTGGGACATTTGAAGCTTATGGCAAGTTTGCCGTTCAAGGTTGGCAATATTGCGTGGCAAGCTTGACGCAAGGTTGCTGCCAGCTTACGTGCTATCTAAGACGCTTCGCGAGAGAAGGAACCTTACTTAAAAATAATTTTAAGTTATGTTTTATCTTTTTATCAAGATAAAAGGGATAAAAATATCACTAAACATAACCTACAATTATTTTTTGACGAAAGGTCCCTACTGTCGTGGAGCGTCATATATTTATATTTGAATTAAATAAAAATATATTTGTCACAAAGCCAAATAATACTATATTTATTTGAAAAAAAATTTTGTTTTGCAAAAAATAAAATTTCATTTGATGCAAATAGAATTTTAATTTAAATCAAATATAAAATTTTAAATAAATATTTAGCTTTAAGAGAAATATATTTCCTTTGGAATGTAACATTTGGCAATAATTAAAACTCGAAAGTTTGGAAAAGAAAAAAATTATTCCAAATTGTAAAATAATATATTTTTCTTTTTGTAAATACTGTGCTTATGGTGACTATAAAGTTGAAGAGTAAATTTTTCTTTATATCACGATGTGGCAAAGTGATGCTGTAGATCTTGTTGATTAAAAAAAAAAAAAAAAGTGGAGGAAGAAATTGAAGTGTTGTACAAATTAGTTCACGTCTCTTGCTATAAAACCATTTCGTGTGAGGAGATTCATCGTAAAGATTTGCCAATATACTTTAAAAGGTCCTTGAGAGCATCGATTACGATATATATACACCTGCCTATACCTATATATATATATATATATATACTGATTTCGAGTAATATATGTTACGCCAGAAACGTGTGCTGACAATATCACCTCATGAGTATTTCACTCTCATAAAATTTTTTTTATATATCAACGATTAATTTTTTACCTTCTATACACTTAGAGAAAAATTTGTTTAAAACAACCAAATTTTGATTGAATCAAACTAATAAATGCATTGCTGTACAGTTAAACAAACATTTGGTTGATTCAACTAAATTATTCTGTTTAATGAAACTTGTATCAGATATTTTATCAAACGCCTACGTTTATTCAAGTTTCAAGGATTTGAAAAAGGATCATCTTCCTTTCTATGTATTAAACATTCTCTTGCGTAAATAATGATTTTTAGATTACAACAGAAAACATGCGATCTCATTTTAACACCGCATCAGTGTCTATTTAATGATTTTGAAATTGAATCTCTAATTATGAAATTGACACAAAACAATGTTTTCTACATTATTATTATTATTATTAATGTATGAAGGCAATTAATATGTTAGAATTATTATATTATTTTTATTTCCGTTTAGTGTCATTTATTTGATTCAAATAAATTTTTATTTGAATTAAATAAAAAAATTTATTTACGCCAAATAAAAATAGGTTAGTAGGCTGGGGGACAAATAAACGTTTATTTAACTCAAATATATTATATTTGGTTCAACTAAAACATTTCTCTGATATCATAAACCCCGGAAAACAAGTTTCAAATGAATTCGAGCAAATTTTTTAAAAATTGGTCCGCTATTTTGGAGCCGCCATTTTGAATATTTGGAATATGATATTAGATTCGTAAATAGTGACTCCAAAGAACGTGTACGTCAGAAAAATCCAACGAAATTTTTTACTTGCCTTTATTAGAGATAAATAAAATTTATTTGAATCAAATAAAAATATATTTGTCTTAAAGTCTAATAACCTTTTATTTGTTTTAAATAAAAAATGTTATTTAGCGCTAATACAAACTTTTATTTAAACCAAATAAAATTTATTTAAACCTCTTAAAATTTATTTAAACCTCTTAAAATTTATTTAACCCCTTCGCAGTTTTTGGGGTCGCTGAATTCAAATTTGATGTCAGATTTAAACAATTCAAAATGGCGGACCCAATATGGCGGAAAAAATTTTAAATTGATTCGATTCGTTCAAAATTTGGTACTCGAGGGTTTTTGGGGCCGCTGAATCCAAATTTAATATTAGATTTAAAAAATTCAAAATGGCGGACCCAATATGGCGGAACAACTTAAAGTTGATTCGATTCGTTCAAAATTTGGTACTCGGGGGTTTTTTGGGTCGCTGAATCCAAATCTGACCTCAAATTTGGATTCAGCGACCCCAAAAACCCCCGAGTACCGAATTTTAAACGAATCGAATCAATTTAAAAAAATTTCAGCCATATTGGGTCCGCCATTATGAATGTTTTAAATCTGACATCAAATTTGGATTCATCAATCCCAAAAACCCCCGAGTACCGAATTTTGAACGAATCGAATAAATTTTTCATTTATCCGCCATATTAGGTCCGCCATTTTGAATTTTTTAAATCTGACCTCAAATTTGGATTTAGCGACCCCAAAAACCCCAAAGGAACTATTTTTATGAAAATCAAGTCAATTTTTAAATTTTTTGGACGGCATATTGGGTCCGCCATTTTGAATTTTTTAATTCTGACCTCAAATTCGGATTCAGTGACCCCGAAAACCTTAGTATACACATTGACACTCAATTCTAATTATGTTTAGTATTTTTTTTTTCTAATATGGACATATATGTCCAAAATCACAAAGATGGCACGACTGTTTTTGGACATATATAGGAGGCCATCGACAGTCAAGGGGTTAAAACAAATAAATAATATTTATTTTGGATTTCAGACAAATTTTTTTTTTATTATTTATTATAAAAAAAAAACTTTAGAATGAATTTTTCTTGGGAAAATAATGATTTATGGAGAGGTGGATTTTCTTCATTTAGTATTATTGTAATGCCAATTTGTATATATCACGACGGACATTAAGAATGCTCAAGTAAGTTTGCAAATGAATGTTTACTATAAATGAAGAGATATAATTTTTTCAAACAATCTTTTGCTTTGACTTTCTCATTACATTATAATCTCATCAAAGTCATCTCTTCACTCATAGTTAAATTAAAATTCTTCTTCAGATTAATAATCCTCTTTGTCTAAAAATATACCTTATAGTTTAACGTCTCTTGAGATTTATGATATTAAAATCAAAGCTTGTTCTATTCTCTAACAAGAATTAATTAATTAAAATTTCTTGTATTTTGTCCCTACTCCCCCAGAGAAAAGATATATTTCTTTCAGAGCCAAATAAATTTTATTTGATTTAAATAAAAATTTCCACTAATTTTTAGTCATTTTTAACTAAAACTTTAGTAAAAGAAGATATTACTAAATCAAATAGTAATATTTTACTAATTTGAATTAGTGAACGAATTAAGTAAACGAAAGAAAATACAGTTTTAATATTCAAGAAGAAATGTTAAGTAAAAATCTTTAAGTCATTATGGCTGCGTGGTCAGAGTATGCGAATCGCGTCTAAGGGTCCTAGGTTCAAACCCCCATGCGTGAGAGATTTTTCAAAATGATTCTCAAATGTTTTGTATACGGTATACATTATAATCTTAAATAGAATAAGTTACACTGAAAAAAAAAGTTTTTGTGTTTGCAACAAAATCGTCAATTTTGGTTCCTATAACGAAATTTTGCTTGGCTGAAACAAAGTCGTAGAGTCATCTCAACGAAACATTTGGTTAGGCCAAGAAAATTATTTGGTTGAACATTTTTAAATTCCAACCAAAATTTGGTTACGACAACCAAATAATTTAATTCGCTCTCAGCTCGTACCTTAAGAGAACAATTAGTTTAAATACCTCACAAAGATGGGTAGTCCAGTGGTCAGAGCTCCCGATTCGCAGTTTACAAACAGAGGTTCGATCCCAGGCGGAGATGAGATTTTTCAAAGTCCACAAATATTTCAACTGGATAAATATAAATTGAACGTTAAATTGGTAATAAATAAATAATAAAATAAATAGAAAAAATAAAAAAAAATTTGGTTGAGCTAACCAAACATTTTTGTTATGCCTATAAAAAACACTCAACCAAATTTATTGGTTGACTCAAACAGATAGTTTGTTTGTTTAAATACCAACAAAATTTTTTTGTTGGCCCAACTAAATTTTGGTTGTTTTGACTAAACATTGTTCTCAGTGTAGAAATAAAAAAATTGTAAAAACTATAATGTAAGTAAAATAAATTGCCCTCACATAATGAGGCAATTTAAAGGAAAAATTAACAAGATGATAATGAATAAAATCTCCAAAATTCAATTAGTCATAAAAAAAATTAGTACTCTCTTAATAGAGTTTATATACAATATTCTAATACCCTATAATATATAAGCAAAATGTAGTAAAAGTAGTTAAATTATTTATTCACTCATGAATAATTGAAACTGCATAAAATTATTATATCTTAACCGATAATGACTTTTTCTTAAAGGAATTTAATGCTCGTGCTAACAATAAATCATTATAAGTCATATTGAACAAACTTGACATTGAAGACAGGTGCTACTTATCTTTTAATTCAATATATATACTCCAATTATGAAATTTCCCTTAATAATGTAAATTACTTTTTAGTAATTGGAATGTGAGAAAATAATAAATAGGTGTGAGAGCTTTGGAAAGTAAAATTCATAATTTATTCAATTTTCTATAATTATAATATTGTACGCATTTTTTTTTTAATGATACTTAAGCAAAATTTTTTAATGAAATAAAAAGACAAAATTTAAAATATTCCTTATTTTTTCAGTTTTTTTATTCAAAAAAAAAATTTGAAAACCTATTATCTTATTCAAAATTTTAGAAATTGTTTTTCCTTTTTTTTTGTTTATTTTTTTTTTTATTTTAAGGAGGAATGGTACACGTTAAAAAACAATTTCTCAATTTTGAGGTTATGTTAACGTGTACTAGCTGTTATTGCTGCGCGCGACGTTTCTCATATATGATAGACAGTCAGTGATACCAACATAATTCTAGAAAGTGAGGTTATATTTACCATATTTAGTTCATGGATCATGTTGGTATCACTGACTATCATCCGAGAAACACTGAATAATAACAGCTGTTTAAAATAAAATAAAAAAAAACAATTTCTAAAATTTTGAGCAATTACGAAATTTTGATTTTTTCCTTTTGGATAATATGAAAGTTGGAAAAATGAGAAATATTTTTTACCTTCAGGTCATTTTATTTTGTGATGAACATTAAATTTAAAACTTTTGGAATATTTATCATTTTATTTTTTAAATAAACAATTGGTTTTATTTAAATTGGTAGAATTATCAAATCAGTAGGTAACATTATCTTAATATTACGGTAATATTACATGGAAAATTCGTAATATTACGGTGTAATATTACATGGAAAATTCGTAATATTACGGTGTAATATTACAATAATAATAAAATATACGCCTCAAGTTAAAATTACATGTAATATTAAGGTAATATTACAATTTAATATTGAGAGACTTTTTGTTCTTAGAAAAAAATATCGATGGTGGGAATCGAACTCTGAACCTTTCGCACATGAGTCGGAAGTATTAACCAATGAACCAACCAGATTTTTTGAAGATTTATATTATTAATTATTTTATTATATTAATTTATTTTAATTAATTAATTAATTAATTAATTATTATTATTAATTATTACAAATTCCTAGAATGGCACAGTAAAATTTTTTTCAAAAAAAAAAAATAAAATATTTGATTTCGACCACCGGATGTAAAACAGGATCAAGAAAAGTGTTTTTATTATTTTTTTTTTTTTTAAATAAAGCAAAACTGGTTGACATTAATATTATAAAGATTCAAGAGTTCTACTAGTATATATAATAATTTTATATTTATAACCAAATGCCATAGATATTTTATGGCTATTTGTTGTCTATAATGTTGTTTGCCTTTTCAATGCCGGTATCGCCAGAATGCAAATTATTTATCAACTGATCAAAAATTCTGCTCGAGTAAAGTATATATATATATATATATATATATATATATATATATATATATAAGAAGAGAATCACATTATTCATTCGAGTAGGTACTTTATATTGCAAGAATAAACTTTGCCAAACAATCGACCATTGACTAACATTGAATACGCACGTGGGTTATATTTTCTTAAATACCTAATTTTTTTCTTTTTTTTTTTAACTAAATCACTGCACACGCAGAACATTTTTTTTTCATCAAAATAAAATGAGAAAAAAATACAAATCAACAATTCACAACAAATAAATAAATAATATTATGAATAATAATAATAATATATTAATGGTATAATAAAATATAGTTATCTATGATTATATTTAATATTATTATTATTAATATTATTATTATATATAATATAAATAGAAGTTAGAGATATAGAGTAATTTGAAAATTTTTGTATTATTTGCTAATGCAAAAAATTGAGATGATTAAAATTTGATAAAAATTTATCGTATATATTTATATATATATAGGTATATTCTCCCATCTTATCGGGAACTGAATTTGAATCTGTGAATTAGAAAGTTGTTGGCCTCTCGATTAAACTTCACATCCTGTGTCAGACAAGAGGAATCTAGAATTTCACAAATTTACGAGTCGATGATTCTGAATAGACAATTTTTTTTATTACAAAAAGTGTTATCTTTGTGTGTTTAGGTATGCTCAATATTCTCATTTCAAGATCTATTCAGAGGGAGAATACTATAAATTGGAGATCGATGGTTATGAGGGAAATGCAGGAGATTCTCTAAATGATCCTTGGTATGGATCAAATAACAGTCCATTCTCTACTTACAACAGGTAAATATTTTATTTAAAGATACAAAAAAAAAAATAATTATGTTTTCTGTATTAAGATGAAATATAAAAAAAAATCGGACAAGTGCGAGTTACACTCGCACTGAAATCGAGGGTTCCGTACTCGAAGCGAACTTATTTGGTATAAAAACAAATGTTTAAAAAATATGTGTTGTATGACAACTATTATAAGTGATACAAAAAGGAACAATTTTGTAAAATTCAAGAAAATTGTTCCTCTTCGTATTACTTATATTAGTTGTCATACAACACATATTTTTTAAACATTTGTTTTTATACCAAATAAGTTCGCTTCGAGTACGGAACCCTCGATTTCAGTGCGAGTGTAACTCGCACTTGTCCGATTTTATTTTTTAAAAAATATTTTACTAAAAAAATATAAGAAACATAATTTTATTTCAACTCGCAATATTTTTATTGTATTTACATTTTAAAAATATATTGAATATTAAATTTTATCTTTCTAAGTCAAAAAGAGATAAAACTTAAGATATTGATATAAGGCTAGTAGCTGCTTGTCAAGGAAAAATCGAAAGTTATCTAAAAAATAAAATTTGTTTATTAATTCCAGAAAAATCAACTCCAATCATCCTCGCAATATTTTTTTTGTAATCTACACGTAAAAATACGTCAAAATATATAAATTTGAATCACTGTAGAAAAACTTTTTTCGTTTTTTGCGGAAAAATACATTTTTTTCTGAAATTTATCATTTTTCTTCAAAAATTTGATAAAAATTGATCATCAACTCCAATCGCGCTTACATTTTTTCCCTGTATTTTTCACGCAAAAATTGAGTTTTACAGCAAGTATGAACAGTCTGGATTGAATATTGTGTGCACTAGGGAGAATAAATCATTTTTTTCGAAATTTTTGATTTTTCCTTGACAACGCTATGTAAATTAATCCGAATCAAGTTCGCTATAATTTTCCTGTAATTTTCACGTAAAAATACGTAAGTGTGTCAAATTTGAGCTCTTTATGTCAAAAGATGTGGCCGCTAGGGGGGGGGTACATACTCATTTTTAGGTATTTTTCGTAAAAATTCATGGTTTTTCCTTGACAACGCTATGATAATCAACTCCAATCATGCTCGCTATATTTTTCTTGTAATCTACACGTAAAAATACGTTAAAATATATAAATTTAATTTCCTTTAAATAAAATTTTGTTCGTTTTTGGTGGAAAAATACATTTTTTTCCTAAAATTGTCATTTTTTCTTGAAAAACTTGATAAAAAGTTAATCATCAACTCTAATCGTGATCGCTTTTTTTCCCCTGTATTTTTCCCGTAAAAATACATTTGTATACTAAATATGATCTGTCTGGGTTGAATATTGTGTGCGCTAGGGAGAATAAATTATTTTTTTCGAAATTTTTGATTTTTCCTTGACAACGCTATGTAAATTGATCCGAATCAAGTTCGCTATAATTTTCCTGTAATTTTCACGTAAAAATACGTAAGTGTGTCAAATTTGAGTTCTTTATGTCAAAAGATGTGGCCGCTAGGGGGGGGGGGGGGTACATAGTCATTTTTAGGCATTTTTCGTAAAAATTCATGGTTTTTCCTTGACAACGCTATGTTAATCAATTCCAATCAAGTTCGCTATAATTTTCCTGTAATCTACACGCGAAAATACATATGTGTACTAATTTTCAGCCCTCCAGATAAATTTATGTGGCCGCTAGGGGGGAGGTACACGATTTCAAAAAAACCGATATTAATAGGGTTCCGAACCGAGTACGGAACCCTAAAAAAAATAAATAAAAAAAAATTTTCATTAAAAGAAAATGTATAATTTACAGGGATAATGATAGATCATCGTTAAATTGTGCCTCAATGCTGAAGGGTGGTTGGTGGTGGAAATCTTGTGGACGCGGACTGAATGGACTTTATTTAAATGATCCTCAAGACCTCACAGCTCGACAAGGTGAGAGTAGTACCACTTGATATTATGAATTCCCATAAGTATATTTATCTTTGCTTTCATTTGCGAATAATACAATATTTACTCGGTGAGTTTCTCTTTGTCGTAATGAAGAAGTCAAATTCATTTTATTTTTTAATTTACAGTTTCTGTTTAACTCAGATATTTTTTAATGTTTAAAAATTTTTTTTGTATTATATTAGAATCTGAATTTTTGTATAGACGCCCAAGTAGCACACATATAAAATTACTCGTCTTTTGAATAGTTACTCAAAACAAATTTTTTTTAAAATAAAAAATTTTTATTATCGCTAATAATATTGTACCTAATTTTAAATGTCCTTCAAACTTTTTTTTTAAAAAGTCAAAAAAAAAAAAAAATTACGGACTTAGAAAAATAATGTGAATTTTATTTTAAATCTATTATTTATTTCTAAGTTGTTTAGTGATAAATTTATTTATTGAGTGACTCCACGTCAAGTGATCGCAATGATTTTTGTTATTTTGGTAGATTTTTATGAAATAATTGATCATTTGGGTTCGTTTAAGGGTTAAAATAAGAAATCCCAAGTTATTTTGAAAAATTCAAAATATTTTTCAAAATATTGTAAAATTTAATTTTTTTTGTAATTTTTTTTTATTTTTTATAACATTCGCAAATTTTAACCAATTAGGATGAAAATTAAAAATTCATGAACATTCTCTACACCTAGATAGTACGTAAGCTTGCAGCAATCTTGCGGCAAGCTTCAAATGTCCCACCTAACCTAAGCTTGCATGGTAAGCTTACCGAAAGATTGCTGTGTAAGGTTACTGCAAGATTGCATAATAAGATTATCGCAAGCTTGCATAGTAAGCTTGCACGGTAAACTTGTTGTAAGGTTGGTGCAAGGTTATAACATATCAAAAAAAAAAAAAAAAAAAAATTACAAACAAATTTGTTTTTAAGTTGTTATTTACATTCCCAGGATTAATTTTATGATGCAGAAAAAAATTTAGATAAACTTTAAACGTATGAAACTGACTGTACCCATTTACCCAAAAATTTAGAAAATTTCATAAAAATTTGGGGTAAATGGGGACCCAAAAATTTGATTTTTTGACAAAAATCAAAAATTCAATTGAATTTCTGTTATGGGAGTCATAAGGAATAATAAACAATTTTTGTATGATTTTTGAGTCAGTTTTCTTTGAAATGCTCGACAAAATACTGAAACTGTTTGACTTTGATTTTCAAGTTTTTATGCATTGAGCGATAACTTTTTTTTATCTTACTGCCAATTGTCAAAGATAAAAGCTTGGCAATACTCAGAATATCTTGATGTAGGTGATCTGAGGTTAAAATATTGACGTTGAACTTAATTTTAAATCTGTAAATTAAGCTCCAACACCTCTTGTCCCCATTTACCTCAACTGACCCGATGCAATATTTTGAAAAATATTTTGAATTTTTCAAAAATACTTGCGATTTCTTATTTTAACCCTTAAAGGAACCCAAATTATCAATTTCATAAAAATTTATCAAAATAACTATGTAACGGATATACCTGTACACTGTTAGAAAAATCTACATTCAATTTAATACATTGTATATATGAAAAAAATATGCAATACCTACTAGAACTGAAATTTAATATACATAGTTTCATAAAATTTAATATACATTTATACATTCAATTTAAAACACTTTACATTAAATAAAACCATATATCGAATCAAAAAACGTTCCATGAGTTGATCCGATTTACGCTATCAATTTGATACTTGAGGCATTTCATATGAGAATACGGGGTCATGTATCGGATTTTTCTCAAAATTCGGTAAATTGTAGTGATAGTGGTGCTAAATAAGTGTCCAAATTTTGAATTTGAAATTTTTAATATTTTTTGAGATATTTACAATAACAAATTTGAGCAATATTTTTTTAATTTATAACTTTTTTCCTACTAAAAATAGAGAAAAATGTTGTAAATGTTTTTTACGCAGAAGATCTTAAACTTTTAGAAAAAAATTATTTTTTTAAAAAAATATTAATTTTTAAACAATTTGTTTAAAAAATAAAATTTGTTTATAACTTTTAAACATGTTCTGCCTCATTTAGAAACGCGAAAAAAATCATGAATATTGTTTAAGTCATAATAAATCGATGGTTAAATTTTTGAGATGGCATTATTTTTTGTTTTCGAGATATTAATTAATTAACTAACAAAAGTTAATAAAAAATGAAATTTTTTACGAACAAATAAAATTAGAGTACTTTTAAAAACACCATTAGAAAGCTTATCAAAATCCGCATCCAACGAGCCCTATAGGAACTATTTCTAATAAACGGGTGTTAAATTAATAATAATTAATAAAATTTATTTAAATAATTGAGCTGCCGGATCAAAGAAGGGCACATAACTAATGTAATTCAAATGGATTATGTGCCCTTCTTTGATCCGACAGCTCAATTAATAACATTTGAAGAAATGAAGATAAATCGTCAATTCTTTTTTTATTTGGCAGATCATCTAATTCTGTGTCGAAAAAATCAGTATAAATAACATTTTTAACAAATCTAAATTATTAGCACCCTACGACACAAGTCAGAGGGGGCTGCCTACCTACTCGGCATGGTATTTTTCAGTCTTTTTCTAAATAACATTTTATAATTAATTTTTGATTCTTGTTAATACTTAATATTCTTTTTTTGACACAGAATTAGATGATCTTCCAAATAAAAAAAGAATTGACGATTTATCTTCATTTCTTCAAATGTTATTAATTATTTAAATAAATTTTATTAATTATTATTGGTGTTATTTTATTAATGGTGTTTTTAAAAGTACTCTAATTTTATTTATTCGTAAAATATTTCATTTTTTATTAACTTTTGTTAGTTAATTAATTAATATTTCGAAAACAAAAAATAATGCCATCTCAAAAATTTAACCATCGATTTATTATGACTTAAACAATATTCATGATTTTTTTCGCCACGAGTTTCGCCATTCTAAATGAGGGAGAACATGTTTAAAAGTTATAAACAAATTTTATTTTTTAAACAAATTGTTTAAAAATTAATATTTTTTTTTTAAATTAAAAAAATATTGCTCAAATTTGTTATTGTAAATATCTCGAAAAATATTAAAAATTTCAAATTCAAAATTTGTACACTTATTTAGCACCACTATCACTACAATTTACCGAATTTTGAGAAAAATCCGAGACATGACCCCTTTATTCTCATATGAAATGCCTCACCTACAAGAAAACTGTGAAATTGTGATTAAGTTTTTGTTTAAAATTCTAAGCCATAATCAAACAACTAAGATATTCGTATAAAATTTGATTATTATTCACCGCAAAAATACAAAAATAATAATTGTAAAAATAAAAACAAATTTACAATATTCCATCAATAGATGCGAAAATTGCAAAAAGTGTTAAATAAATCAAAATAAAAACTTTATTGAATGTGCATGCCAGAAAGATGAAATCAACTAGAACTGATGAAATGTCTTGAATAATGTATATTTGTATTATTGCAAAAAATATAAGAATTTTAAGATCAACTTCTTTTCTTTTTGTTGTCTCTTATAGGAATTGTATGGTTCCGGTGGAGAGGGTGGGATTATACGTTAAAGAAGGCCACGATGATGATCAAACCAAAAGGTCCAGTGGCTGCTGCGTAAAAACAACATCTCATCAAGAAGAGAGAATATTGAGCGCCCTTGTTAGAATAACATTCGTATATGTAAGTATGTAATTGTAATGGATGTCGCCTGCGGCCCTTATTTTTCAAACAAGAGAAAGGAATTACAAGGTTACAAGCCAATGAGTTCGCTAACTCTGAATACTAGTTTGAAGAAATTGCAGGGTAATTTGTAAAAGAAACAGGATTTCTTCTTTGTCATCAGATTCTTTCATTCTTTCTTTTTTTTTTTTTTTTTTTTTGTTCTATCATTCCTCCCTGTATATGTCTATTGTTTTTAAGTGAATGCGTCATATTGTAAAAGTGCCTATCTATAGATTTGATAAGTACATCATATTTTTTTAGGCGACGACGAATTGTAATTATCTATGCAGATTTAGTGTATAACATTTCTCGCAATTTAATCTGCATTCCGCCATCTCACAGTATTTTAATACCGTAAGGCATGACTTTGTAGAGTGAATAATTTTTTTTTCTTGAAAAAGATATGATTTCCAGATTTTTATATAGGGTCGTGGAACATCAGCTCTTTAAATAGAAATTATTTTCTTTATTTTTCAATATTTAAATTGAAAATTAAATAACAATAATTTTCTTTGATGGATTTACTTAAGGAAGTTCTCCCCCTCCAACGTCAGTCAAATCAATGCCCATTTAAGTTTTCATTTGTATCACGTAGTACTAGCTCAACGCTTGGCAACGTTGGATTATATTTCCCCCGTTCCGTTTCGTGTCGTCTGCTATTGTTTGATTTATTTTCGTTAAATAATAATAATAATAATTTATTATTTTAAAAATCTTAATTTTTTATAAGCAAATTCAAATTATTATTCATTATTATGAATCTTTGAAGAATATACTATTATATGTATATACTACTTATATTACTTTCAAATTTCGCGCTTTTTCTATACCTAACCTACAAGACGCAACGTTGCCAAGCGTTGTGCTAAGTAATTTCTGATTGTCAAAATACGGTGTTTTTTTAGACAAAATAATTAATTGTAAGTCTCCTAAGCCAGGTCTGATCAATTTTATTAAAAGTAAGTGAACATTGGCTATTAAACTTTATGTATATAAAGTTCCAGTAATATCTTTTCGTCAGATTTTTCACAATTTGAGATTTCAGACCAAAAAATTCAATTTCCCATAAGAACCCGTGTTAAATGTGAAAAGAGAAAATTATTTATATCTTTTGTCAAAATCCACCTAGACCTCTAAAAATTTAACTACATCTTCTTTAAACCATTATCTATCAGTTTATCAAGTTTGATAATTAACTCTTCGTCATTTCTGTTTGCGAGAGAACTTCCTTAATAATCTTAAGTTTATATTTATAATGCTTTTTTCCTTTAATTAATTTTCAATATTTGCCAAAAACAAATTTTTTTTTCAATGAAAACTTATATTTATTTTTAATCAATTAAATTAATGTGTAAAAAAATCTTTTTTTCATAAATTACTTTTAACTTTTATTTACACTATTTGTGCAATTTTATATAGAAAATTTAATTTTCTTTTTTGATTCGCGATGTAAAAAATATTACTTTATTGAATTTTTAATTTATGTATTTTATTTTTAAAAAATACCACAAAAAGAAAAACAAATGCACAAAATTTCAATCAATTTCTAAACCATACTGCTGATAATTTACTATTGAAAAAAAAATCTAATAATTTTTTTTTTTTTTTTTTAATTGTGCAAATAAATTAAAGGTTAAGTTTACTAGCAAAAATATATAGTTAGCTTAATTTGTTTCCCAGACAGCACATAACATTGCGGCAATGTTGCGGCAATATTGCTGGGCAAGTTTCGCAATATTGCCTTGTAACATTACAGCAATGTTGCCACAACATTAAAATGTCCCACCTTGCTCAATATTGCACAGTAAGCTTGCCACAAGGTTATGGCAAGGTTGCACCACAAGCTTGCAGCAATGTTGCACGGTAACATTGCCGCAAGATTGCTCGGCAAGTTTGCATCGTAAGCTTGCTGTAAGATTGATGTAAGGTCGAATAGTAAGCTAGCTGCAAACTTGATGCAACAGAAAATTCTCGCCGTAGGCCATAAAAATAATTTTTTCTTCCATTAAAAAATAGCTAGATTTAAATGTTTTAATTCCATTTTTTATCCTATCTTTAATTTTTTTTAATTAAACAATTAAGTAAAATAAAATTTAAATTATGGATATTTTCTTTTTTGAAGTGACGTTCAAATATTATATAGCCAAAAAACTGACAATAAATTTAAGAAAAGTGCCTACGGCGAGAATTTTCTGTAGCATTAAGTTTGCAGTTAGCTTACTATTCGACCTTACATGAATCTTACAGCAAGCTTACGATGCAAACTTGCGGCAATGTTACCGTGCAACATTGCTGCAAGCTTGTGGTGCAACCTTGACATAAGCTTGTGGCAATATTGAGCAAGGTGGGACATTTTAATGTTGTGGCAACATTGCTGTAATGTTACACGGCAATATTGCTGCAAGCTTGTGGTGCAACCTTGACATAAGCTTGTGTCAATATTGAGCAAGGTGGGACATTTTAATGTTGTGGCAACATTGCTGTAATGTTACACGGCAATATTGCGAAACTTGCCCAGCAATATTGCCGCAATGTTATGTGCTGTCTGGGTTCATTTAACCGTTTGTTTTGAAATAGAAATTTCAAGGATTTTCCTTTGCAATGAGAAATTTCTGTCTTGTTTTACTGTTAATCATTCGTAATTAATTTTTCATTATAAAAAAAAACAAAATTATAAATTATTTTATTTGTCATAAACAGCAATGCCAATCCAAGCATGAAAAATTTTTTTTTTTAAATTCATTAAGAATATATGGTAAATTTTTTTTTACAAAGGGAGGTATGAATTTACCTTTAAGTTGGAGTTGCCAATGATATAAATATAATAAAATTATTTTTATTGTCAATATTATTATTAAATATTTCTAAGTACGTTGAAAAAATTAATATTTTTATTAGAAAACAAGAAAAAAAATAAATTTAATAGTAAAAATATTTTTATATTTCTTTCTTAACGTTTTATTATTATTAAGCATTTTATACGAGCGCGCCTTTTTTGACCTATAAGGGAGTTGTTGTAGCGCAAGCGCAGTTGCGTTTATGTAGGGTCATTGGCAACTCTGCTTTAAGCTTTAACTATTTACGTTCCCAACCCTGTTTGGCTTGCGTAGTCATCTACCTCTGTAAGTGAAATTTCACTTTTTAAAAATATTATTTAAATAAAAATTAATTACGATAATTGATTATCAGTAAAACAAGATGTTGCTTTTCAATTATAAAAAAATTTCATAAATAGTTTTGATCAAAAATGTGATGAAAAACTGCTACAATTGTCAAAGTTAACCTTTAATTTCAATTTTAAAATTTATTATTATATTATAAATATATATTTATTTCTATTTATATCTTATTTTTTGTTTAGTAAATTATATCAGTTATGGTCACAATTTTTTTAGATTATATTCTAAAGTTTTTTTCTTTTTTTTTTTTAATTCATACAATAAAATTGGTGAAATTTTATTCTTTAATTTGATTTTCAATCGAATGAGACAAGATTTTTAGATATATACATATTGTTGTCGAAAGAATTTATAGGGCAATTCGGCTGAAAATAATATCGATATTTGTAAATTGTTTCTGTTAAGTTTTACTTGTTATGGTTATTTATATGTAATGTTACACGAGAAAAGGGACCTTAGAGGCAAAACAAAAATTGTAGGTTACTGTTATAATTTTTGGATTTTAAATAGATATAGAGAATTAACTCTTAATATAAACCTCTAATATTTATGACTTTATTAAATCCAAAGTATTCAATAGAAATTGATTTTGAATTTATATAATTAAAAATGAACGCGTTTAAAACAAAACCTATCACTAAACATAACCTAAAAGTTTTTGCCTTTAAGGTTCCTTTTCTCATGGAGCATCACATGTACAATTTTTTTCAATAGTTTTCGCAACCTAAAAAAACTAACGAAGAAATTTTTATAAAAAGGGACTTTAAATTAAAAAAACAAAAAAAAAATTACATAAAAATCCCTAATTTGTGATAAAGCGTTTTATTTTAAAATATATATATATATGCGACAGATGAGAAAAAAATATATTATGCCTTTAGTTTTTTTTTAAAAAAGAATCTAAGAAAATATACAAATTTTATTTAATAACATGTAAGAAATATTGTTTAAAAATTTTAAATCTTGAAAAATTAAACATTTATTTCAAAACTTAATAAAAATCTTTCTTTGAGGTTGAGCAAAACTTTCATAACTCTTGCAATTATTATATATTATATATCTAACAATGAGATTCTATGGAATGTATGAGAATGTTGGGAAAAAAACAAAAGTTTATAGACATAAAAATATAAATTTAATAATTGATATCGTTTTCTATTGCTTTTATTTATAAATGTTTATAATTTATTTTATTTTTCTTTTTTTGGGAAAGTGCTCAACCAACATATGCACTTAATCAATAATGGATTAGATGTAGTAAATTTAGTGTTTAGTGAATCGAGGCTATCGGGACAATGATGCAATGTCCAAATGACATACAAGCTTTATCCAAGAAATTCTTAAACTGCTTTGCAATTTATTGTACTTTTTTTTTATTGTATAACAGTGCAAAATAACAAGTAAATTATATGCGCAGTTTAAATATTTCTTTGATGGTCGCACACAGAAGGATTATATATCTAATTATTATTATTATTATTAATTCTAATTATTGTTAGATTTATATAAAATAAGAAATCACTTTCCATTATATTAATGTATTTTCACCCTCAAGTCATATCACTCTGAATAAGATTTAATACTCTAGCACAAATGTATTTTTTCCTTTTTCACGAATTATGTAATTTAAAAAGAAAATTGTACTTCAATGAGATATCGGCAATTTACTTATAACTGATGTAATATAAAAGCATAAAAAAACTTTTTTAAAAAGTGCCTTTTAACTGAACGAAATTTTCAAAAATGAAGCAGTAAATTGAAAGGAAATATATTTTTTTTATTAATTTAAAATACTAATTACTTTTAAATAACTAACTGTTGATTAAATAAATTTAACTAAATTCGAAATAACGAATTATCAAATAATTTTTAAAAACAATCAATTGTTAATTGACAATTAATTAGTAAAAATAAATTATATTAAAACAATAATAAAATTTAGTAATGGAATAAAATTATCAATTCATCCAAGTCAAAATGGATTTTGACTTGGATGGATTGATAATTTTATTCCATTACTATTCATTACACCAAGTGATAAATTTATCATTAAATTAATAATAAAATTTATTCCTTTCTACTAATTTAATTAATTTCATTTCTGACATTCTTGAATTAATTGTCTTTTTTTCTGTTGCTTCGAATTGAATATTTCTGAAGTAATTTAGAAACTAATAGACGAATTTGTATATTGCACATTTTTTTTTCCATTTTTTATAGATTGAATAACTTTAATTATAAGACTCGATTATTTTCGTTACTTCTAAACTTTTGTGTGGTTTAGATGAAAATTGACGAGTAATTTGTAAATAATAAACACGATTAAGTATTACAATAAGATGTAAAAAGTACTCGAATAAATGTATCTTTTGTAAAATATAAATAAAGTTTGTTCATAGATTTTAAATATTTTCAAACCTTTGTATTTTTCCAGTAAATTTACATTAATTACT